GACTCAAGAAAGGAAAAAGGGTACAAACTGACTCAGACCTAGTCTACCCAATCTTGAGCTGGTTCCAAATTGCACTCTGATCGTGTGGACCTGAAATGTTAGTAGAAAGCAGTCATAGAGAAAAGAAATGTTTGCTATCATCAAAATCATAAGCCATAGATCCGCAATAGTCTCCCCCTTTTTTATGATGGCAAACAATTCAATTTGAATTTTCAAAAAGAACAATTTCTCCTAATCCCACCCTCACTAGAATAACACTTTTAAAAAATAGGGGAGATGAAAATATTTTTGTTGTTTTTAATTTTTTGAAAATAAGATACAAATACGATAACAGTACAAAAATTCAATAATACGTTCTCCCCCTTTGACATTATCAAAAAGAGAGGAGGCACAAATAAAAACAAAACGAATAAAAGAAAAAAAAAACGTTCCCTGATCTAATGAAAAACAAATATTCTTAAAATGAGAAAGTTACCTCTTAGTTTTAATAAAAAACTTAGTAGAATTGGATTGACAACGCATAGCCCAGAAAAAGGTTAGAAATTCATAATTTGATAATCCAAACTCGTTCTTTTAAAGGCTCAAAAACTTTTTAATCCAATATCTAAATCAAGGAATAAACGGGAAAAAGAAACATTAATTTTTCAAAACTCCTTTCATAAAACATATCTAATAGAAGATCAATGCACAAATTGTTGAATAAAGAACCAAGATTTTCAAGCACAAGTTTCGAACATATCAAGGAATTAATTTCGTCTGAACTTTTTGAGTCCAGAGGAGTTCGTCCCGGGATGACGATCCTGTTTGATCTGTTTGATAAATATCCGATTTGAGATATTTTGGATCATTTTGAAGAGAGAGAAAAAGGCAGGAGAGAGAAAAAGAAGGAAAGAGAAAGAAGAGGCTTGATTTCGAAGGCCGCAGAGCGCTTTTCGTCCGACGACGCAGTTAGAAGATTTGTTTGTCTCGCAGAAGGACTCCGAATCCTATTTCTGATTTCGAAGATTTTGAGTTTTTATAATTCTGTGCTCAGTTTTGTGTTTTCGTTACCGAATAACGCACATAATTTTGTATTAATGAAAGTTTTATCGCACAACTTTTAATATATTTCTGATATGATATTTTTACACGATTTGAGTATTTTATGTAAAGTTTCTACCGATTATTTTGAGTTATGTGCGATTTTTATCGAATATAAAATTATTAGGATGTTGAAAAATATTGCTTCAGTACGATAAAAGTCTTATGTTGTTGTTTTCCATGATCTGTGATAATTTGGTAAATTTCTGAATCTGTGATTTCTGTGTACATTCAGTGTACTGCTGTTCTGCCGCCGATTTCTCGTACGACTTCTGATTTTCTGAATTGATGATTTGAATGATTGAATATGCATACGAATGTGAAAATATGATTGAATTATTGTTATTATTACTGAAAGACAAGTGCAGACTGGTTGAACCGTTAGTTGGAGATTTTTCAGCTGACGGGCACAGAGTGACGACTCTTATTAGCCAATGGATATGAATATGGATATGGATATATGGATATATGGATATATGGATATATTTATGGATTTCTACAACAGCACAATGGATTATCAGCATTAAAAAACGCCTTAATAGCGAGTGATTGTACTTGTCGAGTAAGACTATGGTATTGTATGGCTTGTGTAAGTACTGTTCTTATGATCTCATTATGAATTTATTGATTACTGTATGCATTTATTTATACCGATGGATTTATTGATTTTATTGATTTTGAATGGATTTATAGATTTATTGATATCGACGGACTTCTTGTATTGATTATTGATTTATTGATTTTGAATGGATTTACTGATGAATGGATTTATAGATTTATTGATATCGACGGATTTAATGTATTGGATTGATTTCTTGACGAATGGATTTACTGATAGATTTACGGGTTTACTGTTATTGTCTGTTCATTGATACCGCATATTGTACGTGTCACTGTACATAGATATTGATATTGATATGGATATTGATATTGTATTGATTCATTGATACCATCGCTTCATTGATATACCGTATTGAACTGCTGCATGTGATTCATTGATCAATATGGAATAGGTTTTACTGTATTGATTTGATTGTTTTATATGTATTGGCCAGAGATGATTGATTCCATTGATACGATGTTGATTTAACTGATATTATCGAGACGACGATTTTTCTCTATCGATTTGACTGGATTCTTCCGAGATTTAGTGTTATGGATTTCTTTCTACTGTTTAACGATTCTTCTACCGCTGACTATGGATTTTATCGATCATGCATTGATTACTGATTTTCGTATCTGCTGCATAGATTCACTGATAATGTGCAACTGACTGTTATGGATTTGATTGACTGACATGCATATTGTTTCAGCACCGTGCTTTGATTTCAGTTGTAGGTTTTAGGTGACCTGCTGGGCTTTTTGAAGCTCATTATATGTGGTTAATATTTTCAGGTCAGAGCAAGGGAGCAGGAAGTGATGGTTGATCAATACTGTCGACGAATCCTTTCACTATGGATGCCTGGGGCGTCACAGGTTGTAAGACCCGCTATCGGACAACTTCTAACTAAAGTCGTAAGCCCCACATTTTAGAAAAATGGTTAAATAAATAACTATGATCCTAAACCCCTAACAATCAAATTTAAACCTATGGGCATCTTGGTCTAAAGGATTAAGTTGTAAGACCCATTTTTCAGGCTACTTCCTAAGGGAAGCCATAAGTCCTACCCAAACAATTTAAAACCTCCGGGCAGCCTTGCTGTAGAGTTAGTTTGTAAGACCCATCATTGGGTAACTCATAAATAGAGCAGTAAGCCCCATTTCAAATTAAATCCCAGTGCTATTTTCTACGTAAGCTGTAAGTCCTAAACTAAATTTAAATCCCTGCGCTACTTCCTAAAGAAATCATAAGACTCATTCCAAACCAAACTTCTGGGTTACTTCTAAATGAAGTCATAAATTCCAAACTAAATAAATTTCTGGGTATTCTAATAGATGTAAACCCCAAAATACTTAACAAAATTAAAACCCACATCTAACCACTTCAATCTACTCAGGATTCTTGAGAGGAGGCAGCCCATGATTGCTAATCAGATTCGTTGAACACTATGGTCAATGCTTGTTAGTGTTGGTAGATTGAAACTATGGTATGCCCGGGACAACGGAACCATGGGATCTTGATCGGGTTTACCTCCATTTTCCCCACTATTGAGACTAAAATTACTTAAAAGTTATTTCATCCTTAATCGAGAGTTCTCTATTACGTGTTAAGATGAGTAATTAACTATGAGTGCTTGCGTTCATAGGAACTAAGGACCCCAGATCTTTAAACCCTGACACTGCCCTCAGGGGAAATCTGGTTAATTACAATCTGATTTTATGGAAATAGAATCCTATAACTGCAAAGCTGGATTCGTGCATTCGTGCCATTTTTCTCGAGCCAACAAGTTTGTTCTATTTCATTGTTTGTTTTCTTTTACATTATACTTTAGTTTTGTGTTAATGATGGTTGTGCACTTTTTGGCGTAGAAATATCAACATCATTATCATTATCATCACCACCATCGCCATCATCATCATAATTAGCCTTATCCCAACTGTTTGAGTTCTACTATTTGAATCTTCACTTTTCATTTGTTCTTGCTAAGTATTGTATGGGGAGTTAGATTTACTATTTTAAATCAATTTTGTATAGCTTCTATCCATACAATCTTAGGTTTATTCCTTCTCCTTCCTTCCTAATTCTTTGATAGTAATTTTTCTGTTCATATAATGAACACACTTTTTCCCGCTTGTTATGCATGTTTAAATCATCTAAGTCTAATGGTGCCGAACTATCCAATTTTATATCACGGCATTGTTGACTTTCTATGATTTGAATGTTAATTATCTAGCGATGTATGTGGAGGACACTTCAGCAACAACGACAAGCTTTTATCCTACTACGCAGGGTCTACATATGGATCACACATCAACAAAACAAAATCTGAATAATAAATTGATCAAATCTTGAATTAAGGTTTCATATTTTTGTGATAAGGCTATTCAAAATATTTAGCATTTTTTTAATAAAAACTGCTTTAAACATGTCATTCTTATCATTTCTAAATACTTATCAGCATAAATTTTATGACCACTAGAAATTTGTACGGTAAAAAGGGATGTTTCTGGGGATTTTCATCCAGGTGTGAATACATTCTTTTTCCTTTAGTGTTCATGCAAGATTAAGAGGGAACTATATTTGCAAGTCAATTTGCATTTGCTTGTAGGTGATTTTGCATGCTCAATGAACTTGATCACTTTGCTTTGATGCCATATTATATTCATTAAATAACTACTATTGATCTCATCAGATGATAAGGAACGAACTACACACATAAGGTTCCTTGTGTCAAATACTGCAGCTGGTTCAATCATTGGAAAGGGTGGATCAACAATTACTGAGTTTCAGTCCCAATCAGGGGCTCGCATTCAGTTGTCACGAAACCATGAATTTTTTCCTGGAACACCTGATAGGATAATCATGCTTTCTGGTGGATTTAATGAAATATTTAAAGCAATGGAGTTGATTCTTGATAAATTGTTGAATGAGGTTTGTTGCATATTCATCTTTTACGTTTATCCTATAGTATGATTTTACTCAGACTTGTGCTAAAGCTTTTTTACTTCCCTATAGGATGAAGACAATCATGATGGTGATGCCAGGACAAAAGTGAGACTTATTGTTCCAAATAGTTCATGTGGTGCCATTATTGGAAAAGGTGGATCTACCATAAAGTATAATTCTTCACTCAATCAATTTTTAGAGTTATTATTATTTGTCTTACTATTGCCACAATAAATTTGTTTCATTATTTTCTACAATTTAATTCATTTCGTAGCATGTAATTGTTTCTTAACATTCATTTAACCGTATAATATATGTTGTTTTAGAAATTTTAATGTAGATTTATTATGAGATGTAGGAAAAATTTACACAAATTCATGCCAGAAAATCATAATTTTTTTAACAGCACTTTGTGAATTTTGATGACAAATGAAAGTTTGATAGAAATCAACTTAAGCAAAATCCAATGGACTTCTACTAGAAATAATGAATATAAATTCAAAATAAAAAAAGTCATACAATGAGTTGAAATCGATGCACTCATTGAAAATTAGATTATATCAAATTTAAGTAAATTAATCAAACCAAAAATCCATTCACAAAAATTGGATCAAAGAAAAATATGGAAATAATTTACTAAAAATAAGAACCATGCTTGTGAGGGAAATAATCACGCTCAAACAATTTAAATCTCTTGATCTAGAAAGAAGAAAAAATAGCTCATCCAAGCAAAATTTTATTCAAGAACCTCTCTCTTAAAGTTTGTAGTTGCTTCTTAATATTATTTATAATAAATCTCAATAGAATTCTCTATCGACTACAAATAGGGGAAGAAAAAGAAGAATTAGCCCTATACTCACCAAAGTTGAGAAAATCCTGTTAGGTTGGTTATATCCATATCAAAGAAGCCATGCCATAGAGCCATTTAGAACACTGAATTATTGCAATCGAAAGGCCATTGATCCTTCTAGGCACAAATAACAAATAGAGCGTTGTAACATCACATGTATTGTAATAGAAGTTCGTGATCCTTGCTAAAATTGGATAATTGCAGGCATAATAGATTAATTCTACCACCATGAGCATAAAAACCACTGCATAATTCCACTACCAAAAGAATGGTGAAACCACCAACATATTTAAGAAGATCCATGGGACTTAATGAACAAAGATCACATGAAGCATTGAAGAAGTCATAGGATGATGAAATCAATGAGGTTGCATACGTCGTCAAAGTAGTTGCATAATGAAGAAGCCTTGGAGGTTGTATTCACTAGTCACCTGAGTAGGATGCCATTGGAGGATGAAGCCGTAAAGGATGACTTTGTTAGAGGAGAAAGTTGCAGAAGAAGAAATTGAAGAAGATTGCAGGAAATGTAGAGCTCCCAATAAAAAATTTTCCATTTAAGGAAAGAAATGTTTCCAATAAATTGCTTAAGCCAATATTTGATTATTAGACCTTAGCACACCTTTTGGATTTTTTGTAAATTTAACCTTGAATCATCTCCTAAGTTTGCATCTCGATGCACATGTGTCCTCTTATATCCACAATTTGTAGTTGAAATGATTTTATATCCAATAATAACTTTAGGGTTATTATGATTGTTTGGGCAATATGCTGATTATTTGTTGGATGTAAAATATCAAAGGTTGTGGTGGAAAGAGCAAGAATCCGATATATTTTTTGATGCTCATGATATAAGTCAAAGAAGATGCATAAAAATTTGGCATGATTCTAGAATTTTCTGGGTTTTCATTCTTCCTAAATCATTATATGACTTTGTTTGAATCCTTTTTTTAAGTATTTGATTTCTTAAGTATTTTGGTAGGAAACTTTTAGGTTTTAAATGGACCATTACCTTATTAAATGGTTTGAATTTTGTGTATCTGCCATTCGCATCTACAATAAAATTATAATTGTCAAATTTAAGGGTAAGTTTCTTGTAAATATTGTCATAGATATGATTTATGAATTGTGTAACAGGATATGATGTTAAATTATTTATAGGCTTCCTAATAGAAAAAAATCTCAACTAATCTAGTAAATGCTGAAGAAAACTTAAAATTTGTATTTGCTAGTTCCATCAAGTTTTTTTTTTGTGTGACTTACAAACTACTGGAACATCTTTAATTTAAATAAGATGTGCTCATCATTGATGGATAATCATTTTAAAGAAAGATGTTCAAATGTTTTTAATATTAGGTGTGACAAATTATATACCTTTTAATTTAACTTGATAGATTGAATCTATTTTTTATCTTTTTATATCAGTAATTGTCATTAATAAATTCTATGACATGTTGATGCAATTTGAGAGTTTTTTTGCACAAGCTTTTTCTTATAAATTCATGAATTAGAGAATCAAAAACAAAAATGGATATTTATATTGGTTTGTCCATTCATCGAAGGTATGATCTATAATATAAAAAAGTGTCTTAGTGACTACATTATTAGTTTGCTCAAGTGTTTAGACAGTTTAAGCAGACGTGTTTTTCAGTTTTAGTTAAGGATAGATTCAATGTCTATTTGAGGCTTAGGTTTAGATGTGATCTTAGATTTAATTTTAGATCCAAATTGTAACTCTTAATCAACCTTAGGTTTCAAGTGTAGGAATATGTGCTATTGTACACTCCTATGTAGATTTACAATAAGCAAAATCAGATGTATAATATTATTGTAGCTGTAAACCTATTACCGCATTTAATTTATCATTGAAAGATTATTCATGAACTACAATTTGTTCAATAAGTTCAACTTTGACCATCAATCATTGGTACAATACTCTTAATGGAGGACAATTGTAATATTTTCTATAACTTTAAAGCTTTGTATGAAGTCTTATCTATTGTGCTTGTTGATTTGTAGCTTAAATCACTTTTTTTTTCGTAAGGCCTTTAATGAAATATATGGCTAAAAGTTCTTCAAACATAAGAAAACATTAAAAAATTTGAGTCATATTTTTATAGTTCTTTAATTGACCATACAATTGATTTCTATAATCAATTAATGACAAATATTGATCTTTTAGTTTTTATCATTTTACTTTCAACACTTTGCTAGAATATTTGAGTAAGTCCCATTCATTTTATTTTGGGAAATTTAACTCTTTAGGAATAAAATATATTATATCTTTCAAAGAATTTCCTTAAGTTCTCTATCAAATTTGAAGATAGCTTAGGAGTCCACACCCACCAAATATAGTAATATAACTCTTAAGCTGATAATAGTTATGTTGAAATTATTTAGAATTGTAATTAAATTAATTTTATTTAAATTGCAAATTTTTTGTTTTGTTAATTGCTAACTCATTTTATGTTCTAAACCAAATGTGATTTTGATGTCTTATGGACTATGCTCTATTTTTTTCTGCAATGTAGAAAAATCATGCAATGAGCTCATATAATTGAGATGTCAAAAATTAAAATTTTTTAACAATTATTTACTATTTTTTATGAAACACGGAAATATTGCAATGAAAGGCCTCCAGTAGAAGGTTGTGATCCTAATGGAGAAGCCATGCTGATGGGAGGATCTCCATAGAACACGAAAATATTGCAATAAAGGCCTCCAATCCTTGCTCCCAACCATAAGCATCACGAGAAGGAACGACAGATCATCACATTTATCACAATAGAAGGTAGTGGTCTGTGGTGGAAACTGTTAGTACTAGGCACAACAAACTAATTTCATTGGCAAATGCGAGAAATTACTGCACAATCCACCGCAAAAGAACATTGAAACTACTGATTTATAACCAAGAAAGGTTGTAAAATTGGATGAACAAATGAAGTCACAGAAGCTGTTTAAGAAGTCACACACACCATCATTTTCTCATTGCAACACTATGTCTTTGTTCAATAATGTTGATACAATTCAGTTGTTAGTCTGCAACATGAATTGCTCGCTTGGTCGTACCAATCATACTCTCTTACTGAAAACTTGCTATCAAGTACTTATTTTTTATATACTAAATCTATATAAGATCAGCTAGAAACTACGATTTCTTTCTTGGAAATCTTTTCCTTCAAAGATTATTAAGGTCTGCTTTAAATATCCCCTTTTCCTAAAACTTATATCTATAGGAATACAAACCCATCCATCTTAAACTACATATTTTTATTTTGTTTCCAGTTTTTTTATCTTATATTTTCTTTGTTTATAACCTCTAATCTTCTTGAGAATGTTTCAATGTATTATCTTCATTATTTCTGCATAATTTTTCTGAATTTCGTGAATTATCTTTATTAGTTGAAGTTAAATTTTTTACTTTGCTTATTTCGTATGGATTCCTCAGACTTAACATATATGATGTTTTGCTCGAAGATAAACTATTCAGGTAGCAAGAGCAAAAAAAAAAAAGATCTATCTCTTTAGTCTGGCTCTGTTATACCTAACTTGCATATTGTGCAAAATATGTTATTCTTTTGTTCATGTATGTCCATGCAAGGATTGAACAATCAGGAGTCTTTATTAGATATTATTCTGTTTACGGGGTCTTGATTTACCTTTTTTTTCTGTGTTTTGTTATACATATGCGAAGGAGGGTGGGCTTTGGGTCGACAATTAGGTTTTCATAATTGATGAGTGGCAGTTTTGAATAATGGAAACCACTTTCTTTTGAAAGTGCCTGCAATACTGCTTAAATTAATACCTCCACAGATGATACAGGTAACCTTTATCCACAGATGATACAGTTAACCTTTATAGTAATTCACTAATTCTAAAGTGCACTTGAGTTGCACTTAATCTTGTGGGAACGTGGCTAGATCTTAAAATACTTTAGATTCTCTCAGCATTACTGTATATGAGTTGCTTTACATGTAGTGGCCTGGATGCAATGTTTTACATTAAACACTTCACAATTCTTTGTATACTGTCATATGAGGAAGATCAGCACCATAGAATCCAATCAGGTTATCTGAATTTCAGTTGTATTTCAGAAAGCTTTGACTATATTAAAATCACATTAGGTTATTATAAACCTAGATATGACATCTTGGTATATTTAATAAGCTTCTGTCTACCAATCTTTCTTGTCCTTAAAGATAGTTATTTTGAAATTCTTTGATGGCACGTATCTTTATTTTAAATATTCTTCTGATGAATTATGCTTCAAATTCATTTTTCTCGATATTGACTATTTTATGTTCCCTTGCTTCAAGTTCTCTT